GTGTTAATCTTATTCGGCAAACAGAGTCAAATATACATTGAGAACTGATAGAAACGTTATTTTGAGTTTCGGTTCTATTTTGTCTATCAAATTTTTCTTTTGATTTTTTATTTTGTACACTAAAATAGATTTATTCTTCATTCTATGGACATATAATCAACTAAAACTTCCAAGTGAACCTATTACTAGATAGTGTATTTGCTTTAACTGAGAGTAGAAAAAAAACATTTTAGACTTGAAGTATCAAGTCTATTGAATAGAGAACGATTCTTCGAAAATGTTCAATTACAAGAAAAAATTTTACAGTCGTTTTTTCTTAGCGATGAAACAAAATTTTTTAAAAAACCTACGTAACTTTTTTCACTGTATCGATTGAATTCTAAGATGAAAGACTACATAATTTTGCAAGGCATACTTGCCGCTTGATCATTTTTTTTTCTCACCCTGTCTCATTGCTCTTTATAACAAATTGTTCGATCGAAATCAATAAGTTTCAGAAACAAATAACGAATATATGAGTGAAAAAAAAACTCTTATTTTTCTGAATGATATCTACTGATCGGTTTTTTCTGGATTTTCAGTATTTTAACATTTTTTTCCCCTGAACAAAACCAGATTCAGCTCGATGAGTTCTATCGAACGATGTATAAAACAAAAAAAAACTTTTTTTTTATGCTACACTTTTGCATTTGGTGCATCTTAATAAAGTTGAAATGGAAATACTTAATGAATGAGAAAATTCACGTCGGACGGATTGGAAAGAAGATTACACTTTGTTATATATCGTTCGTTGAATAAAATAAGAAAAGAATTTAAATCGATGAATTTATTTAAACCAATCAGAGATATTATATTTATTTACTTCGAATATTCGTGACACCTATTATTGTATTCATAGGAGAATGATAAATAATTTCCAGTGTTTCCAATATTGAGTACCTCAAGCAAAAGCAAAGTACCCGAGGTATTTACGATTTTGAAAAGACAGATCTAAAAGAAAGTAAAATAAATTTACTGTTTATTTAAATATAGAGACTGATCTAACCTAAAAGAAAAGAAAATCATAAAAGATTATTTTGTGTCTGTTTCAATTGTTCAGATTGACCTAAATAACGAAAGAAACATAGAATAATACCGAGTGTGTATTTCGACGCCGTGTGATCTAAAATACAAGAAAAAAACTATATAAAAGAATTCTTACCGTCAATCTCAGCGTTCTGATTGACCTAAATAAAAGAAAATAATATTAATATTTAATTCCAAGTCGAGATTGATCTGAAGTAAAAGACGATTATCTATATAAAATAATACAAATAATTAAATATACTGAAACAAGAATTACATAATTAATAAAGGAATAAAATACTACAACAAAATCTTTTTTTATTTTAGATTAATATTATAAGTTTATTTCGAGCTCTCGATAACTTTCATCATCAGGAAATAAATAAAGGAAAATTTTGCTAAAATAGAACAATACAATTAAGATGAAAGAGTAACACAACTACAACATGACGAAACGCAAAGAATGTTTGTAATATTTTTTTCATTTCGTCATGTTGTAATTCTGCTACTCTTCCATGTTAATTGTATTGTTCTAAAATTCTATATGTTGTAACAATATTTCATGATGATGACAATTGAAAATTATCGAGAGCTCGAAATAAACTATTAATATTAATCAAAACTAAACAATCAATTTTTTTTGAATTGCAGTTTTATATCTCTTAATAATCTTTTTGTCATTTGAACGTACTAATTATTTGAAATAAAATAAAAGAAAAGAATTTGTGTAGAACAATATTTTCTATTATTTCGACGTCGATAGCAATCGAAATAAAGGAAAAAAAATGTGTAAATAAATACCTATGCTTATCTTTTAAATGCTTTTAATAATGGAAATCAGTTGTACAAAGCTCTCGGTTAACCAGCGGTTTGAACTCAACCGTCAGTTGAATCCAGTTACCTGACGGTTGAAAATTTAACCATCGGTTGACCACGATTAA